ATTTTAATAATTACAGTCTCGCTGGAGAACTCCGGTCTGACGCACTCGGGTTCTCGCGTTATTTCCTTATCACTTCTCGCGTGTGTTTTGTTGTGAAACGTAGTTTGCGGACCAGACAGAGCTGTAGGCGATTCTTCCTATTGTGAAGTCATGCAGTGTGAAACCCCCTGTCGCCGATCCATCGTGCAATGTGAACACAGCAGCAACTGAATGCGACCCCAGATAGTCACGCAGTGTGAAAACAACGGCGATCCGACGAGTTTGAAAATCGTGCAGTGTGAACTCGGCATTACTAACACCCAAACTTATGAATGGGAGTGAATATGACAGAATTTTCATTTTGGGTGAACTATTCCTATTAATCTTTGTGTGTGTGTGTGTTGCAGGACGGCTCCAGCCTCACATGAATTCATCATCCCGTAACCTGATGGAATGAAAATCAATGGATGCTAACAGCATTTTGGCTGGATGTTTTGACCCAAGGAGCAGCCCCTCCTGGAGTAACCTGAGAAATGTCTTGCTCAAGGACACAACAGCGCTCTGATATTTAACCACTAGTTCACATCACTCGGATACAAATGAGGATGGATTTACATAAGAGACTATACAAAAATACACTGACAATGGATCCCTCAGTATTGAAAAAGCAGGGAACCTGTTTCAGAATTTGTGTATAATTAGTGGTGTTGCTAAGTCAAGCATCACTATTATTATTGTTATTACTCATACTCATCCTGCACAATATCTGCTATGGACATCATTGATACCTCAAATCATGCAGGTTGTTCAGGAGAGGTTTGCTATACGTTTCTAAGCATTTGGAGTGGACGCCCTATAGACTTACATATGATCCAAGCCATATTTAGGGCCTGGAAAATCTGTTGTTTTGAGCTGACTAAGTAGCATCCTAGCAAACCCAAGCAACCGTATAGCTATGCACACTCAAAAACAGTTTTAAACAACTGTGTATGGGCAACCACACTCATATTTTCTTATAAAACGGATAGTTCCGGTCCTTGATTCTGATTGGTTGAGCCACTTTCGAAGCTGTTTTAAATGACTCTACAAACATACACCTTTGTTTACATTTGCGTGTTGCTTGGCAACCACTTTGTTGCAACCACAACTGATTCTGAGGAACTACATTGTTTGGTGGAAGAATATTGTTTTTATTAATATCATTACACTTTATTTGCTCTGTTTTATTTTGTGAAACCTTGCTATGTATATGGAATAACCGTTTTATAAAAGCAATAAGCCCCGTGAAGCCGTGGTTTACAGTGAATTTATAACAGCTAAGGGGCGTTGTTAGGCACGACGCGAAGCTTCTTGAGGCTTATTGCTTTAATAAAATGTAAAATTCTATTTAGCGTTTTATTGTTAACTTGCTATTATTGACTGGATTTTGCATTTTTGAAAATATGCTGCCATTAAAAAGTATAAACACACACTACTGCTCAAAAGTTTGGGGTCAGTAAGTTGTTTCTTTTTAAGAAATTAAGGGCCAGATTTACTAACAGCTTGCGCCAGAGCAAACCGTCTTTTGGTGTTAAAATAGTAGGCTACTTTCAGAATTTACTAAAGACGCGCAGTGAAGAATTAGCACTGAAAAGGTGTGGACACAGTTATTTTTGCACCTGACCTTATTGAATATGCATTTGTAGGAGTTTCCCTTTCGGATGCAAAATTTATGGGAGGAGGGTATTAAAATTAATCACGCAACGTGATTTACTAACGTTTGCGTTCGTCAAATTACTGGTATTTGCGCCAATATTTAACGGCCAAAAAAGGCAAAAAAACAGCACTGCTCTTGGTAGATTGTGCTGGTCATTATGGAAACGATCTGGCTGCATCTGTGTTCTTTAATGTGCGCATTGTCAGTAAATCACCCGCAGAATTTACGCTCCCATCGGTGCTTTTATGGAATTGCACTCTAACGCTAATTTGCCATGTTTAGTAAATCTGGCCCTAACACTTCTATTCAGCAAGTGAAATAAACTGATCAAAGTGACAGTGAAGACATTTAAAATAACTACTGTTCTTCTGAATGTTATATTCAATACCCTAAAAAAAATAATCATGTTTTCCACAAAAAAATATTAAGCAGCTCGACATTGTTAATAATCAAATATGTAACCTGAGCTGCTAAAAATTCAGCTTTTCCATCAGAGGAATAAATTACATTTTATAATATATTAAAATGGAAAATAGTTATTTTAAATTGTCATAATATTTCACAGTTTTACTGTATTTTTGATCAAATAAATGCAACCTTGGTGAGCATAAGAGACTTTTTACTGACCACAAACTTTTAAATGGTAGTGGTGGTAGGTGGTAACTGTTTTTTAAGGCCTTTTTTGATACATGTACACCTGTCTTTTTTCTCTTAAATAATTAAGTTGTAGAAACATTTTGAAATCATTATTTCAAGCTGTGTAACTGTGTCTTGAATATTTTAGCATGCATCTTCCTCATTTCTGAATGCGCTTATACATTGTCATCATGACACACTGAACATGTAACCTCAGAATATGTTAAAAGATACAGTGCTGCTTGGTGACATCCGCTGGATTGTTTTTCTATGTAATTCACATGTCATAACCACACGAACGCCAGGAGGCTGTTTCATAACATTTGAAATGTTAACTTGGAAGGGGTATAAAGCGATTTCAAGACTCAAGAGTAATGTAATTACCCTGAAGCGATCGCTAATAGCCCCGTGTCCCAGTTTAACTTGGCAAACAAAAGTCACATGCAAAGTCAAGTCAAATGCGAAGTATAAAGACATATTTGCCATTGTTTTGTTGATTTAAACATGAGAACTATGCAAACATGTAGCGCTTGAGTAATTGTTTTTCGCAGAAGTGGCATGGATAATCAAATATCCACAGCATGATTCATCACAGTCACCACTATTTAATCACACACGCTTCATGACTGTCTGCATAGACTTGATCCTGTTCTGGCCCCATCATTAACTCCTGACAACATCTCCTGAGACTTCATTTTAACTCTGCGGCCATGGGGAAAGGCTTTTACATTAGTAAGCCTCTAGGGTTTGTGCTATTTGGGTTGGGTGCTGGGGCCGTGCTCACCATTTTTGCTTTGTCAGTGGTCTATGCTCAAGAGAAACGGAAAAACGAGGTAAATGCCAGAGACGGGACCCGCATAGTGACGACTGCAGCACCCCACAGAACCTCGGCACCATCGAACGAGGCCTGGGACAAGTACAGACTGCCTGACGCCCTTCTTCCTGAGTACTACAATGTGACGCTTTGGCCTCGGTTGGTGCCGGACGAGCAGGGCATGTACATTTTCACCGGGAAATCTGGAGTTGTGTTCACGTGCGTGAAGGAGACCAACCTGATCCTTATTCATTCCAATGAGCTGAACTTCACCTTGACCTCGGAGATGCACCATGCCAAGCTGACGGGTTTGGGAGGAACAAGCGCTCCGGCCATACTGAAGACCTGGTTTCAAACACAAACACAGTTCATGGTGATTCAGCTGAAAGGAAAACTACAAGTTGGAAAATCCTATTGGCTCTACACGGAATTCCGTGGAGAGCTGTCAGATAACCTAGGAGGATTTTACAGAAGCGAATACACAGAAAATGATGTAAAAAAGTAAGATGACTACTGGCATTACTTTTTTTTCTAAGAAAGGGCTGAAATGTTTGCATTTTACAGCTTTTGTAGTCAACATCAAAGTAAATACTTATAATACTAATTAATTAATCGTAATACAATCTTATAGTAATAATTGTATAAATATAAAAATAACTATAAAACTGTTTATAGCATAATTATGTAAAAAGTAATAGTATTTTAATCATCTTTTAGATTTTTATAAGTTCAATTAATTTGTACTGTGGTATTAGAAATTTATTTTAAAATGTACAAATATTTTTTGTATCTCAGTATATAATATCACGGCAATAAATGAATTAGAGAATTTCTAAAAATTAGGAAAGAATGATTTAACGTTTAATTTAAAAACAAAATTCAAATAGTTATCTTATCACACCACGAGCCACTGCTTTATATTTTTTGTAATTATTTAAATATTATTATTATTATTATTACTGAATATTGGATAAAAGTGTCTGCTAAATGCAAAAATGTACATGTAAAATGTAAATTCATTACTAGGTGTAATTAATGTTTCCCTTGAATTACAAACTGAATTTTGAACAAAACATTTATGAAGACTTTTGCAAGCTGTATTACTACTTCCTACACACTTAACTGAGATAACTTCATTTTGGCAGAGTTGTCGCCACAACACAAATGCAGCCCACCGCCGCCCGGAACGCTTTCCCCTGCTTTGATGAGCCGTCAATGAAGGCCGTCTTCCATCTGACTCTCCTCCACCCTCCTGGAACTGTGGCCCTTTCTAATGGCATGGAGCTGGGTTAGTGATCACATCAATAGCAAGTGTATTAGATACTCTGTTGAGGGCATGATAATATCTTCTATTACTAATATTAGAAAATATTAGACAATATTGTAATTTCAGTTTAATTCAGTAATCAAAGCTCTACATTATCCAAACAGATTTATCATTTACTTCACAAAAATGATAAAATTAAGCATATGCTTCTAAATTCAATGGGATGCATACTTTATCTTATGACATGACTTTAGTGTTTTTTTTATGGAAAAAAAATAGTAGGCTTAAACCACATCACAGTCTTTACAGTAAGAAACATAACAATCTGAGTTTCTGAGCTCACAGATCTTTTGAAGTTGAAGACGCATTGCCAATCTGAAAGATTTCAGAAATTTAGACCCTACCAATTATTTTAGCTTTATTGAAGTATTTCCAAAGTTGTATAATGGTAGCCTTGATTGTTTGGTGGTTTATAACCTGCTCTTTAATCACTTATTGAGGCCTTATATTTTCCCTTGCGTGTTAAAATGTACATTTAACATTTGAACAATTATTTTTTATATGTTTATTATTTCTATATACTGTTCAAAAGTTTTTTTGAAAGAAATTATTATTCAGCAGTTCAGTTTTATTCAAGGATGCATTATTAAATTAAGCAAAAGTGAGAGTAAAGTCATTTATAATACTGACATAAATTCAAATAAATGTAGTTCTTTTTAACTTTCTACTTATCAAAGAATCCTGGGGGAAAAAAATGCATTGTAGTTTCCACAAAAATATTAAGCAATACAACTTTAATAATAGTAAGAAATGTTTCTTGAGCAGGAAATCAGCTTATTAGAATGATTTCTGAAGGATCATGTGACACTGAAGACTGGAGTAATGATGCTGAAAATTCAGCTTTGCCATCACAGGAATTAATTTTGAAAATATATTTAAACTGAAAATAGTGATTTTAAATTATTAATGATGCTCAGCTTTGCCATCACAGGAATTAATTTTGAAAATATATTTAAACTGAAAATAGTGATTTTAAATTATATTAACATTTCCCAATATTACTGTTTTTGCTGTATTTTTGATCGACAAAAAAACGCATAATCGCAGACTTCTTTCAAAAACACAAAATCATTTAGACCCCAACTTTTGAACTGTACACTACAGTATATTGAATGGATTTTTCTGTGGACACATTTTAAATCTTCACTCATGTTCTGATTTTCCCTTTAGGCACTAAAAGCATCACCATAGATAATCAAGAGGTTTTACAGACCAGATTTGAGCCAACTGAAAAAATGTCGACATATCTGTTGGCCTTTGTTGTCAGTGAATTTACCAACATACGATCCCCTCCAGAGGCCAATATTTTGGTAGAAATCAAGATATATTCACTCTCTTGCTCCCTTCTTTCCTCTTATAAATGTATTTCAAATGTGGCTAACAAGTTAAAAATGTGTATTAAATGTATTGCTTTTTATTACATAATCAATTTGTAATTTCCACTAAATTAATTATTATTGTTATTTTTTATATAGATCAGAATATGGGGACGTAGAGAAGCCATTGAAAGTTGTCAGGGAGATTATGCCCTTAATGTGACATTCCCTATTTTGAAGTATTTAGAAAACTATTACAACACCACATACCCCCTGTCCAAATCAGGTGAGAGTTTAAACATGCAAGCTCATTCCAAACTTTGTGTCTCAATCTATTAACACTGGGCCATTGGGGAAAAAAGCAGTCAGACTAATACTTTCCATTCCCTAGACCAAATCGCACTGCCTGATTTCGCTGCTGGAGCCATGGAAAACTGGGGTCTGGTCACATACAGAGAGCTATCGCTTTTCTACGATCCTAAAGTGTCCTCTAATGAAGATAAAGAATGGGTGGTCACTGTAATTACACATGAACTTGCACACATGGTATGTGGAGAACATCTCTCTCACTTTCTCTCTCTCTAAAAAAAATGGTGTTATTTAACTAATTTAAATTATGTCATTCATTTACGTGAGTCAAATTATTGTCTAGTGGTTTGGGAACCTTGTGACCATGAGATGGTGGAACGACCTGTGGCTCAATGAAGGTTTTGCAAGTTATGTTTCATATCTTGCAGCTGATTATGTTGAACCCACCTGGAATATTGTAAGTTTTTATTCACTATATTCACATATGAAAAACATTTCTATGTTCACAAAATATAGCAAACAATACAATAAACAATATAATAATATTACACTAGAAATCAGAAGGCTCAATTTTGATTTTAACTCTGTAATGCATCTTACCCATAGACTGTATAAAAACATTACCTTACGCAGATGACGTCCCACCAGTGTTGCCAGACGTACGATAATTATCGTATTTGTACGATAATGTAGACCTCTGTACGATGTACGATCAATAATGAAAAAAAATCCCATAATGTACGATAATTTCTGAATTTTGTGAAACTTCAAATGGTGGTCGTTGTAATCATAGGGTTTCTTCTATACTAATTCATCTAGCTGTGGATCCTACGTCTACCGTGCCCTTCTTTTAAACGAGCACTATGTTGCGGTCCAGTACCGCCGCTCCCTATACGCAGAGTAGGCTAAGCATACGGTGAAGGCTAAGCACGCGCCGCTCGCACCTCAATGAAAAAAAAAACAAAAAAAACTCGCACCTCATGTTTGAGGCTGAATGCAAATGATCATAATTGGTGGACAACTATGCCATGAAAAGACATCAGCAATCCGGCGCCGAGAAAAGAAAAAGAAAAAAAAAGATCAAGCCCATGCCATTTAACCACCAACAACTCATCTAATATTCTCTCTGACTTCCCATGTTCCCTTACAAAAATTTGCCATGATTTTACGAATAAAACCAAAAATCATGGTTCTTGTAGTCATGGATGGTAACCACAAATTAACCATGATTTTGTTACTTCATAGTTTACAAAGAAGTATTAAGATAATATTTTTTTGTGGTTATAAAATCAGACCTAAGCCAACAACAGCCTTTAAAATGACTTAAAATGCATTATATAAAACAATAAGGCAATAATGATTGGTTAATTAATAATTAAGTGGTTTCATTGAATAACACTGTTAATAATACCTAATGTAATACAAAGTAAACAATTTATGTACATTACATATTATTACAAATGCTTGCAAAGGGAGCCAAGGCCTGGTAATTGCTGCTGTTACACTTACTGGACGATCAAGTCCTTTAATATTGACCAAACATTTAATTCAAATATCCACTTAATCTTTCATTTTTGGCCACCCTTTTGCAAAAGAAATGCGACAGCCTCAATCATTTCTTCAACAAAAACATGTGGACATCACAACACTTACAAAAAATCAACCATGGTTTTATCGTAGTAAAACTATGTCGTTTTCTTTTGCGTGATTTCTGAATGCTTGAGACTAAAATCAATCAGACAACTGTATTAATAAAATAATATCCATAGGTAACTGTCTAGTGCTACAATTGTAATTTGTAAATAATACAATATCATTACAATTTGTTTATTTATTTACTTTTGTATTCTATTAAAGTTCTGTTTTGACCCCTATAAGAAGGTGTTTTTTTGTTGTTGTTGTTGTTTACATCCATAATATTTGGGGGAGGGGGCACAACAATACAATTCTGCTTAGGGCACGCATTTGGCCAGCAGCGGCCCTGTTGCGGTCCATGACGGCATCAAATCTGTACCGCAAACGGACCCCCTCAACATCTGGCACCACGCCGGCTTCTGATAACTGCGACTCAGACGTGGAGTTTGGACCTTCCCACTTACGTACGCCTAGTTATTTATCTATTGTGGTAATTTGCAGGTCGTGTCAAAAAGTTGTTGGTCTAGAGCAGGGATGAGCAACTGGTATACGGCCCGCAGTGTCTTTTAGTACGGCCCGCTGGATCATATTAGACTCGGATGATCAATTTTAAAGCATTTGCAAAAGCAAGTCACGTAAAGATTGCTTTCAGTTTATGATGTTAATACTATCTCCAACCAGGAGAGGTC